AGAACCATTATCCGCTCTGTTTCCTATATCAGTGGAAGTATCCAAGGACCCATTTACATCTCCTTTTTTGTTTTACTCAATTTTGTGTCCCTTTCATCAAAATGTTATCATTTGCTGACATACTATTTTTCCTAACCTTCAGACTCTGTCCCCTTTTGAATGGCACTATGAAACCCGAAGACGGTGCACCCAATCATGGTGGATTTGGTGCTATTCAGGCACCACCAGCTTTTGGTTAGCTTATGGGAAAAAACTGCGTTGGGAAACAGAAGATCGATATTCTCCGCGCCTCCACTTCTATTCACGCATCGTACCATCTTGGGCCCGCAATGTACGAAAAATATTCACGAGGTGCATCGCGCAAGGCTTTTTATTTGGCACATCTACATTGCTTCACTTTTTTTCATTCCCTTTGACGATTGCTTATTGCCAGGGGTTTGATTTGATAAATTAGAGAACGCCCAAGAGATCTTATTGATGAATTGGAATAAGGGCATGAAGATTACAGATCAACTGAAGAATAGGCTTCTACTTCATCACATCCATTCGAAAGTCTCACACGGAAAATGTGGAGAAATCGACGGAAAGACCTAGCCTTGTCGCTAAGTCTGGGTTAATTCTATGATCTCATGGCGAGGGAATAAAATCCGAGGGCATGCAGTTTCTTGTTGGTAATTTTGCTGCAATATTAGTCCGAAGACCGCTCATACCATTGCCGTTGTCATTGCCATTCGATTAGTAGCAAACTTACTCCGTCAAAAAGGGGCATCCAAGTTTACCTGATAGAATTATTAGGAAAGTCAGATGGATCGAGGCAGGGCGATCAATTGTACAGAGCCAAATGGAATCCGAGCTACGATAAGATATGCATTGGGGGCGAAGGGTGGTTTAAATATTTCTTTCTTTCTTTCCCGACTGATTTCCTCTTTTCGGAAACCGTAGGAGGAACATTGGTTAGGTTCTTTTAACATATTGGTCCTTGATTTCTCTCGCGACCGGTTAATGATCGGCGTTTTTTCAGGTTGGGTTATGGTGGGGAGTATGGAGTTTCTAAAATGGTGGTCAAATGGATCGGATCTGCATAGCGCGGTACAATATGGGAGGTAACTTTTGACAAGGACTTGGTTTATATGATTAATGGGGAGGGAGCGAGGGAGGGAGGGACAAAACCTTAATGCTTTTCTCGAGACCTGCCTTAAGCTTGTTGATTCTGCGAAAAACACTGTTTGTGCCGGTGTACTGGTCGTGATTCACGCGGCATGAGCGTATAATGGCATCCTATGCAGGGAAAAGCTACATATCTTAAACCGGGCAGATGGTTATGCTACCTACCTAATTTATGTTAGATATCATCAGAATTCAAATTTTTGATGGTGACTTCATAATGTCTATGTGCAATTCGGTGTAGTGTTGAGCTAAGTATGCGATATTGTAATTTGTGTAGTTAAGGTTATAAATAGTGTAAACTTCGGGACGGAATACCTAAGAGCATTGTATTCACATGTAGTTAGTTGAGAAAGAACAACACTCAGTCAGGTAAATACTGATATTTACATTTTTGAGGCGAGAGAGAAACCTGCGTATGAATGGTGTTAAAAAGTAAAACATGTATAAATGTAGGTAGGTATGAAAACAAATTTCGTACTCGAGATAAGACTAATTATAAGCTATATAGAAAGTCGATAGTTTTAACTTTATAAAATTAGTAATTAGGAAATCATTAATAATTAATGATTCTCATATTGAATATTGAATATTAAACACTAAATATTGAATATTGAACATTGAACATTGAACATTGAATATTGAACACCAAATATTAAACATTAATCCCCTATCATCAAATAAATCAGGAAACTTGTAGACAAACGCACGAGCGAAAGATACCTACCTACCTACCTACCTACCTATCTACATAGATATCTATCAACCAAGCACCTTCTCAATATTAATTATTGATAAGAATGAAAATCTTCTACATGTAATCTTACCATGGAAAATGACTGGATACTCGGTTTACTCATCACAAGACGAGTTTTTCTGCGTTGAACTTTGCTTGCTTGCTTGCTTATAACCTGTAGAGTCTAGACTCTAAACCTAGTGTTCTTTAATGCTGTAGATGTAGATGTAGATGTAGATTTAAGACGTGAGATATATTTCCACATCGCAGTTGCAGAAAGAATTCCGAGGATATGAATCGTTCTTGAAGATTTGTGTTAGTGTGTATGTGTGTATGTTTCTGCATGTATAAGATGAATTGTTTAGGAAATACATGGGAGGAATTCGATTGGGTGTACCGTGGGCGAGATTCACTGTGCCGGGGAGAGGGGGTGGGTATGTGATATATAATATATAATATATAATGTGAAGCTCAAGGGAAAGGCAAAACTCGTTTGAGTCTTGATTGGGTAGATAGTAGATAGTAGATAGTAGATAGTAAATAGTAAATAGTAGATAGTAAATAGTAGATAATAAATAGTAAATAGTAGATAGTAGATACTAGATACTAGATACTAGATACTAGATACTAGATACTAGATACTAGATACTAGATACTAGATATTAGATGCCTACTAGATGGACTCTTGTAGTCTGTGAGAATAGTTGAGTAGAGGTGTAGAAATTGGGGTCGGGGGTGGAGTGTGGTTATGGGAAGATTGGATGGGGGTTGGAATACATGATGGTCGTGAGGAATGATGCAGAAGGTTGAAGCAATGGGGTTTGGTTCTGGGGTTCTGGGGTTCTGTGATGATGGATGGATGGTGTGTTAGGTGATATGATAGGTTTGGAGAAGAGGAGAGAAGGATTGATCTGCGAAGATAGGATATGGAGGGGATTTGTGAAGATTTAATAAGTCCTTGGAGATAAGATGGGATGAGAATTGCAGTGACATATACAGGTCTGGCGGTAAGAAGAGCAAATAAGGCCAGATGGCACCCACCAAAATAAATGCAATTTACACGTCAGTAGGTAGAATTACAGAAACCGAGTGGCGCGGCATGCGGCGTGGAAAAGTTGATTCTGACGACGTTAAAATAAGATTATCCTAAACAAGATCAAAGGCGATAAGGCAAATTCAAAGACTAAGTCGAGTTCTCAGCTCAGACGATGAAAGGTAAGGATCTATGGATTAGACTAATACGAAGAAACAATTGCCAGAAGGTGTCATGAAAAGTGTGGATGATGCTTTGCTTTTGGGGGTGATAGTTTCCTCAGTGGAAAGTTGAACAACAAGGTTGTCACATTTTTTTATACTATCTGGTGTATAATTTGAAGGCTCCAGTAGTTTGCAAGAAAAAAGATGATCCACAAATGCTACTTCGCATCTTCGCGTTGGCTGATCAAACTCATGATCAAGTAATTCAGGAGTAGGATTGAGTTCGTTCACGGAAACAGTAACGCTCAAAGGACATGCATGGCACGAAACGAAATAGAAGATGATCGAATGAGAAAGCAGAGAGTTATAGATTACGAACAAACATGAAACGAAGGGAGAAAATAGAAATGGTCGGGTCTTTACATAAGATTTTAGTTCCCGTTGGAAAGTATGGAAGGGGCCATAAGTTGATGCCGGATGGAGAAGGAGTAGTCCGCATGAGAGGCGCATCGAATTGGCCTGTGGGGGAAGATACCTACCACCTTGGGTGGGTAGGGAAGGAATAAGAGCTTCAAGATCGCAAATGGAAATTCCTTTTGCCAAGATTGATATAAAAGAATCAAGGGATGTCTATAAAGTATTGTTATACTTGATATGGGAACAAAGGTTTCGCGGCACTTGATCGTGCGAGGCTAACTGTAATTAGGAGATATACGATAATATTCACCGGTGCTGTGGCACTTTCCACTAATGTTGATGTAGGTACCCTGTCGATGATTGAAAGCCAAAGGGAAAGATGCATGGAGGCATCGACACATATCTTCTCGGCCACCGGACCAGCGCAAGGAACGATATGGTATTCCAAAATAGATTTTCTTATTTGATTGCCAACTGAACACTTTGATTATGGATGTCTGTTTAAGGATGCCTTCACACTGAGAAGAACAGATGAGAAACTCAGATGGCATAACGCAATATATGATCTTGAACTAATAAGACAGGTGAAGCGGTGGCTTGGAGTAAGGGAATGAGATGAAAATAGATGTATAGTAAGAACTCCCATCAAACGGTACTTGATAAGGTTGAAGCCTTTGAGTTTATACGATCTTTGTAGATGCCGAGAGTGGATCTCATTACACCTAGCAAATCTAGTAAATCTAATGAACTATCACGGTCTAGGCTTTGCGCCGTGCGTATGTGAGCACCATGCGGCCACTCGATTGTGATACCGTCGACAAAAACGAATAGACGACGAGGCGGCTCCACAGATTCAAGGCTGTTGCCGGACATGTAAGTGATCCGTGTATGTTGGCGCGCGGAAGATCCAGATATGCGCGAGGTGCGACCCATTCAGTTCTATTTTCTGACCCCTTCTGACCATGCTGGCTTCGTCGAGTGCAGTCTTCCGGAAGAGGATGTCAAAATAGAATAGCAGTCAGCTTGTTTACTTACATTGTACTACATGGCTGTGAGATATGGATGTCTGATTTGATCTTTGCACTGCCATTCTATTGAATCAGAGACATGATATACTCAGCCATTTCTGAGCTGTGAGTCTTAGGGTCCATGGGAAGCAAGCAACCGTCCAGTCATTTGGTAGAATAAGCGCGCATGTTTGTGTGTGGTTGGGGTCAGGTAATCATCGATTGTTTCGTCGTTGGAAGTTGTATCGTTTGGGCTTTTGAAGGTGAACATGGTTTGTGATATATTTAGAATATCTTGCATCAACCCTCGCTGACCGGATGGCTTGTTGTGCATTTCCCCAATTTGTACAACGAGCCGTCTGCCGTGCAGTATTATGGTGCCTCGTGCATTCATTCCCCTATTGAAGATGAACGGAATTTCAATCTCCCGGTCGTATCTCGTACTGTATCTCGTACTACGGGGGTGAGATTATTAAGAAATGAAAACGAAATACGAGTATAGTCGTTTTATTAGTAATTGATCCAATATAATAAATTAGGTGGGTGGTGTGTACCTAGGTATGTACTAGGTATGTAAGTAAGGTTATGTTACGGTTCCATGAAGTTGGAAAATCATATGATGCCTATTAATGACTAGGTAATTAGGTAGGTAATAGGTAATAGGCAATATGTGAGTTTATCTTCAACTTCATCTAACTATGTGTGATGCAGTGATATCAATGATTAATTCTATCTATTTATTATCGTTAGGTCCTCGAGGTCCTTAGCTAACCTAGGTATTAGAACTAGATGCATCGTATCTAAAGGTCGCCATTTTAGTCCTCCTCCTGAGATGGATCGTTGTCGTCATGCGGGATTCTCGGTCAAGGAAATGAATGAGGGGGTCCTTTCTAGGGATTTCCATGATCCATTCCGCCAACGTGATGCGAAGCTCTCCATAAGGCCAAAGTGATGGATCTACAGCACTACAAGATGGGTATGTTCCGACTCCGAGAAAGATTAATATACGGATTCATATGTTCCTCTAATACATTCCTAATATCGGATCTGGTCGTTGCGCTCGTCGTCTCTGATAATTAAACTTTTCTTTAAAGTTGCTTGTCAGGTGGGTAGGTATGATCCCATTTCCTTCCACCGACTAGTCCCCATTTATGAATTGTAGTTCGCGTGGATGATCAGTATTGGTTAACTTACAAGTTATTCCATAATCATCTACCGATCATGACGAACGAGAGAAGAAAGGTACGAGATGAGGTACCTTGCAGAGATGATCTCTCACTGGTAAATGCACGTAAGATTTCATACCACGGCAAACATCGCTTGGAAGCTCGCTATCAGGGAACCTGAGATAGTCATGTTGGTGTTAGACGATGATGGGCATTGGAGATTGAACGTGGGTCACAAACTCCGAGAGAGTTTCGATAAGCAAATCAAAGGAGCTGGTTATTTGATGATTCGATTTATCATTTCCATATAGATCCCACATTTCACTATTTGACATGTATGGCGAGAGAGGGAGGCGGGGGAGGGGGTGGATAAGGGTGATTGGTACAAATCCATCATGTAGTATGATGACCGTGACAACTTACAATTTACAGTATACAAATGGATCATTGAATTTGCCAACACTTGAATGAAGTTCTGATGATCCCAAAGTAATCTGAAGCCATGGTGAAGCGAAGATTGGACTGACTAGCTCACGCCTTAAAGATGTTACAAACGTTGCATTCATGCATCCATGCGGATGACATTAGAAGGATCAAATAGAATATTACAAACGTGCAACTGACAATGCAAGCGAGTAGCGAGTAGCAAGCAGCAAGCAGTGAGCAGTGAGCAGCAGTACCTGCGTTCCCGAGATGATTACAAGAATAGAAACCCCCCGATTAGGGTTCTCCGCACGAATGTACTCCGTATGTACGGAGTATCATCTATGCACGGGACACGCAAATGCCAGGTGGATGGTTGATATGGTGGAATTTCACATATTGATTATTGTGGATGTTTCTCTCTTTTCGCATTTCACCATGGAGGGGAACAGCTCAAGTAGGAGCCAATTACCAAATCCACAACGAGATCCGCAAGGCACACGAAGGCACATCAATATTGCTAGGTACTTAATACTCCGTACCTAGTCGTCAATTGAAATGCACCGACCTGATGCAACACCAAACAGACAGTATGGTGCATATTCAAGTGATCTAGCTGGTTTCCTCTCATCCTGGCTCCTGGTTGGTTACCTTTGGGTAAGACAAAGGCCAGTAATATTCCCTCCAAAAAGTTAATTTGCCCAGATTCTTTTTGAGATTAAATGAGCTGTATTAGGATCTATTTATGGACATTTTCCTTTGTAGTTGTACCGTCCCTTCATCTCTTGGCACCCTTTTGACATGGAAAAAGCTGATTGATCTTATGTTTCCAATGTGTCAGCATGTGAATCCTGGATACATCTTCAAGGATTAAGACATCGTTTAGGGCTTGTTCAACCAGTCGGAATTTAAGGATGATGCAAAGCTGTGCTTGCTCGGCCACTCATGACCAGCCTGGAATTTTGGGAAACATCGTATTTTACACTTGCTTCTCGGGCGCTTAGGAAGGACTGGAGAGAGGAGTGAGGAGAGCAACGTATGGAAAGGCGACCGAGAGATCCCTGGTCATCTTCCTACTGCACAGTGCACGATTCATATCGACAGGGTGAAAGGAGGCTTGAGCTTAGCTTGAAAGGACATACGACTGCGAGGTTGAGTACCGTGCCTAGATAGGTACGTCGGTATCCTTGCGGGTCAGTCGTTGGTATCATCGTGGTTGCACATGAAAGCAAAGGGTATCTCGGTTCGAAGTTGAATGAGGCTTTTCATATCTAAGAATCAATTCTCACGCTTTTACGAGTAGAACCTACCTAGTAATACCGGACAGAGAAAAAGTGCGAGGAAGTGACAACACAGGTGGTGTTCTACTATGGATAGATACGGTATGATGTATCTGGGTAGGTTTGATCTGACATAGATATAGGTAGGTAGGTAGGTAGATAGCTATAGATATATTAGACTACTGGGTATAGTATGATAGTATAATTATTTCGAGTCCTTTTCTACCCGTAGCTGTAGACATTACATATTAGACATTAGACATTAGACATTAGACATTAGATACATAGGTACACCCGGTATTAGATCTCACTTCTTTCATTCGACTTCAAACAACCACAACCACAACCACAACCACAACCACAACCACTACCACTACCACTACCACTACCACTACCACCACCACTACCACCACCACTACCACCACCAAATCATTGACCAACGCAAAGGGCAAGCAGGCATCATGATCAACACCTACCTGTCAGAGCATCTCTACCAAGCCTGCCTTATCTATCCACGTCTCTTCTACTCGAGTACACACAGAGTACCTACCTAATAGGTCAAAGGACGAATCACTCTTGACCAAGACGAGCAAAAGCAAATTCAAATTCAAAAGCAACACAAGAAAGGAAAGAATACTAAAAGAATGACTCCTGTCAAACCCCTTGTCTATCTCTTTCCACTCTACTCGCACGCATTACGAAAATACGACGGAGATGGATGGATTATATGGATTATATGGATTATATGAATTATATGAATTGTATTGTTCCTATTACAGTTTAGTCAATAAATCTCAATATTTCAATAGAATGAAAAGAGTCATTCATTAATCCAAAAATTAGAAGACAAGGTTTAACAAGAAAATTCCCTTTTTCTCTCCTTTCAGAGTTTTGGGAACTTTGGTACCACCCTTCATACATTTTTCCCTTCCAAAGTTCCCCCCCTTCCATCATTTATTTATTATATCACGATCCAAGAATATCTATATTTAGTATCTCATCGCGATACACTTTATCAGTCCTATCAATTGTTGTACTTCAGAAGGAATCTCAAGGAAAAATTAAAGAGTAACCTTCCTCATCTTATACTTTGACTGTGGCATTTCTTTGAAGAGGAAGAGGCTTACCCTTACCCTTACCCTTACCTCTACCTCTACCTATATCATTGATCCAGCTCCTCCCCCTCTGCAAGAAGATATCCTTCACTCAGATCAAACTTGTTCAGTGTTTTGTTTAAAACGGTGTCTTTTCTTCACGGGCTGTATCACTATTTGCGTGCGGGTGTTTCGAGTTTTCTTCGCGCTTCTTCAATTGCCTGGAGCAAAAGCAAAAAAGTTACAATCAAATCAGATCAAAGCAGATCGAATCACATCAACTTGTTCACGCAGCGTTTTTCTCGTCACATACATACGTCTTGTCAAAGGGACAAACTCGATCGCAACCTTATTGACGGACCCCTTCATCAGCTCGACATCTACTTTTTGGTCACAGTTTTATATATCGACATTCAACCACCACAGCCAAAGTACACTTAAACTCTCATCCCACGTCAGACATATTGCTCCGCCGCTATTCAAACAATCGATTACTGTACTTTTATTATTTGTGTCGCTCGATTCCGCCGCTATTGCATTCAAAATTTCACATTAAATTTCGGTTCCTTTGTCCCCTCAATATAGTTCATTGATGATTACGAGCCTACGCGACGTTAGCATTCAGCGAGTTTTACTTCGGATAGTTCGTCTTGATTACACGTCTTAAGCTGGACCAATTCACGCAATCGAATTTTATACCACAAGAACGGCGCGCCTCTGCCGCAATGGGGAGAAGAAAGATTGAGATCAAGGCTATCAAGGATGATAGGAACCGTTCAGTGTATGTTCCCTTTGTGCGAATATAATCCGCGGCGCAAAATGCTAACACTATTCTCCCAGGACCTTTTTGAAGCGCAAAGGAGGCTTGTTTAAGAAGGCGCATGAGCTTTCCGTTCTCTGTAACGTCGATGTCGCGGTTATAATCTTTGGCAGCAATAAGAAATTATATGAATATTCTAGTGGTGATATTGGAGAGTTTATGACAAGATATCAATACGTACGTGTTCTACCGCGTCTGGCGCAAAAATTAAAAACTGACACTAAATTTAGTATGGAGGAGCCAACGAACACAAAGGACCTGCCGACTATTCAGGCAAAGGAAAGGGGATGGATGATGACGACGATGACGATGATGGATCACCTCCCTCCCATCACGGATCAGTTGAACCAATGATGCCTCCTCAATTTCAACACCAACCATATCAACATATCCGCCATCATACTCCATCTGCCTCGCCTCCAATTCCAAATGGTGTCTTTCCACATCTTCAACAGCAACAACGACAACATACGCCACAGCCTGGAATGGGATCCCGCCCATCATCTAGAAATGCTCCACGAAGACAAAGCTCCCTTGTACCGCAGCATCCTCATGGCCCTCCTACCAATGGACAATTTGTTTATGCGCCAAATCCATCACCTTACAACCCTCAAATGACACCTGGTCTGCCACCACACGCGCATGGGCTTCCGCAGCACATACAAGGTCCCCCGCAAGGAATTCCCCATCCACACCAAAGTCCCGGACCACAATACACACACTTTGCACCGCAGCAGCATCCGCAGCAGCATCCGCAACACCTCTCTCAACACCCTCAACAGCATATGCAACAGCATCCACAGCATCCCCAGCAACATCCTCAACAGCATCCTCAACAGCACCCCCAGCAGCATCCTCAACAGCTACATCCACAGCAATTACCTCAACATCCTCACCCACAGCAAGTACAGCAGCTTTACGTGGAGGAGCAAAGAAGGTCTTCGGTACCGCCACCATTCCCACCACAGGAAAGGCCTGTATCCTCACGTGCAACTACTTCTCCTCCACAACCGCCGCAACAACAAATGCCACAGCCTCCACCGCAATCTCAATCGCAGCCGCCTCAACCGTCACCAGAACAGCAGCAAACACAAGCACAACCACAGATGCCAGAGCCGGTCAAGCGTTTATCTGCAAAATCTAGAAGTATTTTCACGCCAATTGATGAGAGCCGATCGATCCTGTCCCAGCACTGGGCAAGCTCAACTTCCAATACTGATACCGTAAAGGAAGAACCCAGTGATCGATCTCAATCCGTAGATGTTACAGTAAATCGTATAAAGCCACCTTCGCCACCTCAGAGATCACAAACGCATAACAAAAATCGAAATATATCCATGTCATCCTTACCTGATGGGTTCACGCCACCATCTCGAACGAACAGTGCTCAGTTGAGTGTTGGTGGTGGTAAAAGGCCTGTATTGAAAGTGCAGATTCCGGAAGAGGCATCGGATAACGGTGGATCTGCCACTGCGGAAGATCTGTCATCCCCAAGATCTGCGAGTGCCGCTAATCCTCAGGCGCGTCGCAATGGCGGTGATCATGGCGGAATGGTACTACCACCACCTTCGCCTTCCGCCTCGGCTCTATTGTCAGCTGGCGCATCGGGACCACCTAATCCTTTTGCACGACCGCATCCTGTCACACAACCTTCTCAAGGATCCAATGCAAGTGGAAATAACAACAACTCGAACAACAATATAATAGAAAATGTGACTCCGGTCTCAGCTCTTCCATCGCGATTCATGAACAACGAATTCCTCCCTAGTCCTTCGTCATTCTTTGGAAATCCCAGTTGGGATTACGGTAGAGGTGGTGACTCAAACACATTACCTAGTCCTCTAAATTTTGCAACTCCTGTTGTTGGCACAGGTCCAAGCTTTCTAAGAGATGATAATGGTGAAAGGGGCGGTAAACGAAAGACCCCTGATCAAGATGAACATCTAGAAAGTGGAGATCAAAAAAGAGCCAAGCATGAAGGATAGCTTGGGCCCCCTCCCAAGGGAAGGGTTTGGAGTATGATTGCTATGGATATGAACTTCACGAACACGGGAATTTGGTTGTGGGAAATCGAAAGAAAAAAGAAAAAAAGATAATGTCTTTCTTGTGGGCGGAACCGAACTCGTCTCAAATTTCTCGAAAAGGGCCTTTGCATTATATTTTGGGGAAGGCGTTTTTTTTTTTTTTTTTCGATACACTTTTTTACGTTTTTGATTTAATTTGCCTTTTTACTTATTCGCCCATGAGAAGATTTTACCACTTTCTATTCATGCATTCTTACTGCAACCGCCCTCCATCATTTCGTTTAAAAGGCATTCAGAAATCGCTTGTGTTTATGATGCGAAGTTTGATTTCTGATGTTGATCATATGAAATGGCACTGGATGGCAGGTTAGCATTCTACTCCTTTGTAAATACCCTTGGGATTTGTGGAGGGGGCATTACTTGCGTGGTGGACTTTGTGTTTTTTTGTGTTTTTGTTGGTCGATTTTAGGGAGGGTTGTGCTTAGAGAACGAAGGGTGGCTTGTGATGAAGTAGTTAAATTGGGGCTTAAGTAGTTGGGTGGGAGATGGGGATGTAAGAATTGGTAGTAGAAAAGTAAGAAAGTCGAGATTACGATACAGGTAGGGGAGATAAATGAGAAGTCAATTGATCAAAAAACGTGAAGTGATGAGATGCTCTACTTTCCTATTTTTTTACCATTCTACATTGATTGATATTCTTGTTGATTCTGATGGGATGTAGTATCTCCCTCGATAGACTACGACGGCAAGAATCTTTCACTAGTTGTGCAAAATTGTTACATGTCGGTATTCACATTATTCTCCTTCAGTGGCCCAAGTACCGGGAAAATCTAATTTCATCAGGCCGAGTCTTCCAACCCAGCTATATATGCAGAACCCCTCCTTGCAAACAAATAATTGAGCACACAACTCTCACTTGTCAATTCCACGCTGTCATTCCAATCCACCCACTAAAACAAACGTACTGTCAACCCCGACCCCGCATCGATAATCAACGTCGCACCCGTGATATACGTCGCAGCCGGGCTGCACAAGAAATGAATAGCATCGGCTACCTCATCGGGCTGCGCCACGCGCTCCAGGGGCGCGACGGCTTGCACCATGTGCTCGAAGTGCGGGTTGAGCGCTGCTTCGAGCGTGTTCATGGGGCCGGCGACCCAGGGCGGAAAGATGGCGTTGATGCGGATGCCGTGGGGGGCGTAGTCGACTGTTATTCGGGGGATGGGGGGGGGGGTTTAGTTTTCTTCAATTGTGAAAGTATCGAGGATTGTGAAATAGATGCAAGTAGGTACATGAAATGAAACAAGAGGTTCACATACCACCGGATTTCGTAATTCCAACTACAGCATGTTTCGCAGTCGCATAGGCCGTTTCCCCGGAAACGCCACGATGGCTTTGCAGACCCGAGATTCACGATGCACCCGCGTCCGAGCGAGCGCACGGTGGAGCGACCTTGGTAGAAGAGGTTTTCTTGCAGGAGCATGGCGCGCGTGGTGGCGCGGTTGCAGAGGAGGGTGCCGCGCATGTTGGTGGTGAGGATGTGGTCGAATTTGGAGAGGGGGGAGGGGTGAGCATGGGAATGGAATTGAATACAAATGAAATATATACCAGCGCTATGCACATAGTAATCTATACGGCAGAATTCTCCAATAGCTGTATTGACCATTGCCTGTACGCTTTGTTCATCGGTTACGTCGATGTGCATGGAGAGGATGGGACAGGAGGGGTTGGAAACGTAGGATTTACATGCTTGCGCGGCGGTTTTGGCGGAAGTGAGAGAGAGGTCTGCGAGGAGGATGCCGGGGGCGCCGGATTCGGCGAAGGAGAGAGATGTGTTTTTGCTGATGCCGCCGCCGGTCTGAGGAACGGGGGGGTTAGTGGGAGGAAGAGGGTGGGGGAGATGGAGAGGGATGAGGGGTAAGGGGTGAGGGGTGAAGGGGAAAAGGGGGTGGGTTGGTAGGTACGTATTCCGGTGATGACGGGCATAGCCGCTGGTAGTTTTGGATCACATGATTTTAGGGTTGAGTAGTGGTGAGGATATGGGTTGTGGTAGAGTGGAGAAGGAAGAAGATGAGAGACGCGGGAAAAGAATAGTTGAGAGTGATAAGGGAGAAAGTCGTCAAGGAGAATCTACAGAACGAGGAAAATGCGCACGAGATTAGCGGACAGCGTATTTATATCGCGAGCGAAAAGTTTGCGGCCCTCATACCTCTAGCTCTGTGTGTGATGAAGCAGTAGTGCGGTGATTAGATTTCTAGCATCGAGTTGGTTTGGCATGGAGAAGGTGGGGGGCGGAGGGGGGACAACTGTTTGAGATAGACAGGGGTGGAATGAGAAATAATTGAAAATTGAGTTGGAGATGGGTGAGCTTATGCGGTTGATGAGATGAATGAGATGGGTGAGATGAGATTAAGTAGATGTGAATTGGAAATAGAAATAAAAATGGAAATGTAGTCATCCAACATAAAGTCTTATAACAAGGAGGAGGGAGTATTATTGAGTAATCAAAAAAGCCGAATATTCTCCATTCGAATCTATCTATCTATCTAATATCTATCAAGATGATATCATCCCAGTGCATCCATCCATCCTATCTCCCCTTCAGTATTATATAGGATACAGATACCCAGCCCCCAAAATCCAGATAAATATTCTGGATTCTGATTCTCTTCCGTGATTAATCTTGACTTTTATCTACTATCAGTTGAGTTCCATTATTCATCATTGTTCTTACACACACAACATACGATAGCTAAACTACCTAATTACCTACTCCTAACGCATCGTATAATCACAAGCATACATATACACATCCCTTTAGAGTTTTATATCTCAACAACAACAAAAACGATAGAAGAAGCAGTGAGGGCGGCACGTATGTATAGCGTATAGCGTATAATATATATAGAATATATATAATAGTGGATTGTGGAATAGGTATGAGAAGACTAAAATTTTATAGTGGAGGGGATGTTGTAATAATTGGGTTGGCTTGTGGATGGATTGATCTGACATTTGTGTTTGTGTTTGTGTTTGTAAGTTTGTTGGTGTGGGATGTGGGATAATTTGATCTGGATTGAGGATAGTAGATCTGAATATGAGAACTTGGAATTTGGAGTTTGGGACGAGGATGAGGATGAGGATGAGAATGAGAGGTTGGAGAGTGGGAGTGTGGGTGAGAGGATGAGAGGGGGAAAGGGGTTGTATGTTTTTATCTCGATTTTAAGTGAGTGGAAGACGACAAGTGTAATTAAGGCGTCTGAAATGGTGGATTTTGATGGTATTTATGCAGCAAGACTCTTCCAGCAAACAAAACACCAACTGGTAGAGTAATTCCCATCTGATACTGGGACTCGACAAGTTCGAGATCTCCACAGATGGAGAGTCTAACTCTTCATCCCACAACAACTAATCGTTTATTTAATCTAATCAATTTATAGTATGATTGGTATAGTTGACTCATACTCACATCTGTCATTCTCTCACAACACTTCCTTTTAGTTTTGATAGCAATATCTTAGCTAGCAAGTCGCAGTCCAGTATTTTCGAGGACTATGCTTCGTCTCAGAATTAAATTTCTGCATTGGGTGTGTACAATACGTTGGAAAGCCTGGCAAACATTTTCTTTTCGTCTGCTCGAATTCGTTTGCATGAATATCTATCTGTTTGCAGAACTAACTACATTCTGAGATGCAAAATCTATGGTATGTTTGATGTCGAGTGGATTTGTATAGTATATATCGTTTTCTTCGGGGGTCGGCGGTGTCTTCTGTAGTGCTGCTCCTACTCAACTTGATTGGGGATAGATATCTGATGAGTACTGATAGTTTCCAGTCAGTCTAATTGGTGATTCTTTGCAGCAGCGTTGTTGTATATGTGCTTTTACAGAAGCTGGATAGCAAAAGCCTGCGCTTCAGCACTGGAACTCTGTTTCTCCTACCCTCCTCTCCTGTGGCCTAGGTGAAACCAATAAATTTTCTCGACCTTCGAAGAATCTTCAAACTTTCTAACCTTTCAGAGATTATGATTCTGCTTCTCTTTTCTCTGGGAGAGAAGAGGATGAGAAACCTCAGCGCTGGTACGTTTTCCACGCAGGTCGATTGACAGATATGTGAATGATGACAATGATACATGATACTAGTGTTCATGGGATTGATAATACTCATATAGTGATATCTGAGCCCTTCTAATGCGCCTGAACTCCTGATGAATATCCAGGGTGGGGTGAGGCACTGTTTTTGAGCCTATCTTATACTTACCTCTTATCCTATTCTGTGTATCCAAGTCTAGCATCCTTGCGTTGATTCGAGATCAAAACTATACCCCCTTAGCTCATCCCAAAACCGATGCATTCCACTTTTCAAATCCTCAGCTTCTGCAAATGTGTCTGTCTCTTTGAGACAACCGCTTGTTCCAATCACAGATGTCGCAGATATCGACGATGATAGGTACCCACATACTAAAACCCATTGTGATTTTAATTTACATTAGTGAGTGACGTCCGTATAATTTGCCATTGTGGCAGATGGTTGACTCTCAGTAGTGTGATTCGCCATTGGAAGCTGGAGTTACACTACCGCTGTTCATTATCCTCAGCATGACAGCCACTCTTGTCAAGAGGGCTCTTCTATCAATGCTTGGCTATTGTATAGCTTGGTATCTCTTACATGTAGTTTTGTAAAACGACGTGATTTTCTGGTAGGTTTCGCAAATACTGACACTTTCTTCAATCCAGCGGCGGAACATTGGTGATCGTTAGTCCTGTTTTGATGTTTCATTCCTATGAGTAGTATGGACTACAGGAGCTGATGGCTAACAACATCTCAGAGATTTGGCATGGCTGAAAATATTGTGGTAGGAGTTTGAAGGCATACTATTCTTGTTGATCTTGAAGTTGGTACACTTTCTCGAAAGAATCTTTGCTGTATCACAAGCTCTTGTGTCACACAGGGAATTTCAATGTTGTAGAAAAGACAGACGCTTTCATACACCAGAAAATTTTCTTTCGATTTTGAGTGACTGGATATAGGACACACCACAGCCATCAACCTAACTCCTGCAATGAATTGCAACAATTTCCGGAAACGAAGCGATCAAGAAACTTCCCAATCTTCTGCCTATTTTGAAAAAATCTATAGCTCGAGGTATGGTCACCGGCACTGATAATGCTTACTATGAATCACTAGATTCCCTTAAAAGAAAGAGAGCAGCAGTTTTGATAGTTGCTGTGATTAATTAAGCCTGCACCGACGTTATTGCTGCCGGAAATTTGACGTTCTTCTTTCTTTTTCCTCCTGTAAGTCATGATAGAACCCAATTAAACATACAGAGAACAATTTGTCTGGCGGAAGCAAATGACTCGTAAATTAGCTACGAGTGAGGATATACTATATAGTGGTCAATAGGATCGACCATCAAAAGCAATGAAGGTCTCACGAAAGCAAGCTAGCCATTCCAAGAGCAAATCACTAAATGCATTGTCGACGCCACGGTGTAGAGCAACAGTTTTCGGAGGCTTGACAATCAACACCTGCAACAAATGGGAACATGTAACTTCAAATGTGCCTAGGTATTGAAGCCAGGTTCGAATATCGTTAGCCTCAATGTAATGTCCACGGTGTGGCTCAAGTGTAGCATTCTGACCTTTGATCAATGCATCGCTTGGGTTTGAAACAATGTGAATACATCTATCTATACTCGATTTATCTGGAAGTATGAATTCATCTCCACTCACACCAATATTTGAAAGTCCTTTTTGAAGCCTGAAGAATTGCGTCGGAGATAGAATGGAACCCAAAACACATGTACCAGTACGAATGAAGATTCTCTTGGACTCTCTTCATCACCCTGCAACCCAATTTCTGGATCATGTGACCAAATATAAGATGGTTTGAGGAGAAACCTTATAGGGAAGTCAATTACTCTGGCGTAGCACGGTGTGAATTAGTGCCAAGCCGGATCTCCCCAAATAAGCTTCTTTAGCTGCTCTAGTCATGTTTATCACATTAGACTAGTCGGGACGAGCCGACTCGCAGGGCTTTAGACTCAGGTACAGGTTGAAATACCAATGTACCAAGTCCTGCTATGAGTTTAAAGCAAAGGTAGAAGATGCAAAGACGAATGCTCAGGGAAAACCATATTGCGGGAAAACCAATAGTCACGATGAAACACAATTCATATAACGTTAGTTGGTGCGAGCAAGTTCTCGAGGCTATTTTAGATAGTGGCTTGTAGCTGAAGCACCAACGAGCTCGATTGACCCAGGAAGGTGCAGCAGTTGCACATCCATCTGTGTTACTGTTCACCACGATTCGATACATGGGAAACTTTCCGGAAATTATGGAACTCAGCATTTGTGTCTCTTGGGTACTTAATCCTTCGTCCTCACCTCCGTCTCGATTCTTCACTTCATCAACATTCACTTCATTAACATCTTCTTCATTTTCAATTAATATCAAAAACCATCACAATGCAGATTCCAGCAGTTCTTCTCACCCTCGCTCTTCTCCCAGGAGCTTTGTCCTGGTCTCCATTCGCTTCCTTGTACAACCCCAAGTCCGCACAATACGTTTACTCGCCCATTGAGCAAATCCGTTATACACTCGATTTCGAGACATTTATCCTCGATTCGAAGAACTGGACTGCCTTAGAATTCGTGTACACAAATGACGCTATTGCGAACTTCACTGGTTTGGGAGCCGAACTTTGTATGTTGTTTCCTTTTTTTTCTTCATGCAGAGCTTTCAAACCCACTCGAGAGCAGAATTTGGGGCTTGTTTCTTCTCGTTGGAAGAGTGTTCATTATGGACAAGACAAATTTATAGAACGAGAGCCTGTGGTTTTGGGGGGGGGGGCATTGAAGCATACGAACAAGGGAAGAAATAACACAACTGCTAACAATCAATCAAAGGGATCGGAAGAGACGACATCATCGCCAACGAAAAGAATGGCTTATCCCACGTTGCAAATGGTGTCCATCAATTGACTAGCAGTGCTATCTTGATCAACCAAGCAAACTGTAGCGAGGCTCATGTTACAACCTAGTATGTATAGCCCTTCTATCTGATGTACATCAAGACTGACACATTCCACAGCATCACATTCAACCATTTCGACACCAACGCGGAAGGAACACAAACACACGTTTTCTCCGCATGGTTCAAATTTGAAGATGATTTCGTTGATACCAAATCCTTTGATGGAACTCCAAGTGCATGGAGAGTACAGAACAGACAGATGGTGTTGGTTGGTGGGGGTGTTGGAGATGATCTTGCGGTTGAGAGACCTTAGACGTTGCATGGAGAGCAGATTGGAGGAGACAGCGATGTTTTCAAATGGCAACGAAGCTGGACTTGTGGGATAGAATAGAAGGGTGAAGAGATGCAACTATATTCATGATAGGAAACGATATCAGCCGATTCGTAATTTTAATATAACACTTTTACATGCATTGCAGCATTGGAGTGCACGCAGCAACCGCGATACAATATCACAAATTTCTACCCTAAGAACCACAGCTAACACCGGACAAGCTGATTTTGCTACCATTGCTTATACCGTGTAGCGAACACGAGATGGCGCTAACCTAAAAAGCGGCTTTTATTCACGCCACTTATATTTTAATCTACTACTCTCAGTATCTCCATTTGCATTTCAAGATCCGGACATCATCAACCGGAGAGCTATGCATCCATGGCGACGGTCTCGACACATCGCTGTGGACGTAGACACGCCGAGAAATAAAACACAACGAGATACAACAGAACGGAAGCTGTCAGTTTCGGTTGGGGGAAAGTAGACGATGGAAGCTGATTCCCCATTCCTGCTTCCTGATATGCGTACATACGCTTTTGAGCTCGTGGACGAACCGCGCGAGTTTGTCAGATGAAACACACTCTGAATGATGAGTAGCCGAGAATCGCGACTTCAAGGAATGCCGACGAGGGGAATGGAATAGCGATATGAGATGAGATAGTATGAGAGACTCCTCGGTGAGTAGGATAAATTTCATACTCCCACAAAGCTTTTCAGATCCTTCTTCTTGTTCTCCAGATGAATTAATGAAAAAAAAAAGGAGAAAGGTATATGTTTCATGTGATCAAACTTCAAAAGCCTTAGCTCAAGTTCAAATTGTTTGGATTTCTATTTCGATGATAAATCTTCTCTACATTCTACCGCATCATTATTTCGTATCTAGAGGCTCTTCTAATGTTTCCTTCATTCCTGGTATATTACTTCCTTCCTTTCAAACTCCGATATACTCCTCATTTAGTCCCACCACATCCGCTTGACGATAAATTCGATTTGAAGTCACTAGCATTTAGCAAACGCCAGTGGCATACATCACCGCACTGCTTCCTCAGATGTTAGCAAGAATCCTGCAAGCTTCGTCTCGCATTCCGATTCGTCCATATTGAATCTATTAGATAACTTACAGCTCATCATTCATAGCCGCACTATCACATTAATATTGCATCTGCTGCAATCCCAAACTGCCTTGGTATGAGTTTCCTTGGTGTAAGACCCGTAGTCGATATTCCATCCCTCTTGACTTTCTTCCCCTCCTCGTGTACTACAGGTGTCACCTTCTTCGGCATGAGTCCTATAGCCTGTACAGGTATCGGTGGAGCCTCTTCCCTTTTCACCCCCTTATCCCTATTATGATCAAACTTTGGACCCTTATTATGCGTCGCGTAATGTATCCGCGTATATGGAGATCGCTCTCCTCCCTTCAAAGAATCTAGACGGACGCCGCTTATCGCCCCGATAATTGATACCAAGGAAAGAAGGCAGACGAGAGCAAGTAGTATTTTGGATCTGGAAGGTAACTTTTTGATTCTCGTCAGAAGACTTCGGAAAGAGGTACTAGTCTTGATGTGCGAAGATTGAACGGAATTCAGGAAGGAGTTCTTCCAGTGTGTAGTCTTGTAGTATACCGGCTTGTGTGGGTCTTCTGAATCGGAGATGATAATCTGAGGGGGAACTTGAGGTTGATTGTGTGTAGGGAGCGTACTGCCAAGCTGGCGGGAAAACGTGCGTGCGTGAACCATTGGAAAGGTATGGATGGAAGAGAATCAGGTCAGGTAAGTTGTGGTTGTACCTATGGAGTTGAGGGAAGGCAGAGGAGATGGAGTTTGGAAAAGATGGGCGGACACAATTGAGATCGGACGGTTATGCAGATGAAGTTCAGATCAAGGTTGTCCGGATTAAAAGTAAACAATGGGGTATACAACTGGTACAATGCCAGATAAATCGTTACAAAAACAGTATAAGAAAATAGGAGGAAGGGAAGGAGAGAAGAAAATGAAGATAGGATGAACAGCACACAAACCCAACCAAACAAGCTTCAATTGAAATCCAGCAAAGAAAGGGATGGAAATGGAAAGGTCTTTTTCATCCGATCCTCAGTCCTAAACATTTGAAAGTCCAGAACCAATCGAACCAATTCTGAATGATCCACCAAGATCCAATTTCATTGTAATTCATCATCATATGGAGATCCAAGCTTAAGCTTCTTCCAAATTTATATCCCTTTCAACGATTAGCTCCACAGCCTCCAGTCCATCTAACCACTCCGAGCCAATCTGATATTTGTTATCAAGACGAGCACGGCTCTCAGCATTTTTTGAAGCCAGGAACATAGAATGATATCCACTTTGATCGATGGATTGGGTGTAAATGAGGCCAGCGTTTCATCATTTTCCTTACTCGTACCGCTAACACGGTTGGTTGAAGTAGGTAGGTACCGGTACTGAATGATAGATTGGGTTGTGAACATCTCCGTTTGTTTATTGAACAATCCCCGACGAGATGTAATAGATATGTACGAAAATAGAGCTGGCGATTTGGTGAGATGTCATTGTAGTCTGCGTTAATATTACTGTAGAGGGAGGTAGGTGTCTACGAATTCGAATTGAGTTGAATGTTCGAGAGTGTAGCAGCAGCATATGGGATACAAAAGTTCGGAAAATCGGTAGTTAATTTACAGGTAATCTCCACAGGCTTACGACCCCCGGGGCAACTCAAATTCAATCAACTTGGGATATTTTGATTCTAAAAATATTTGATTCAAATCTTCATCAATGCAAAGAGGCACTTTTATTGAAAACCCTACTGTCGTTATGTGATCATATCAAATATACCAGATTGGAATAGCAAAACTTCTGATAATGCAAGTACTGGAGGTAGTGGCTAGACTGCAAATTCAACTTGTTACAATGGGGATTCAAAAAATGAAAACTGTGATGGAAGTACCATAGAAGATCTAATAAGGTCACAACTGATGGGACTCATTAAGCCTTCCGTGTAGGTGGTTACGAATCTATGTAGTCAGCGAAAGCTCCATATTCTCTAACCATGTGTTGACTTCCAGCGCTGTCGAAGGACTGAGATGCAACGGATAGTATCCTTATTGATCATTATCAGCGAGAGCGAAGAGATTGCACCAACTGTTGTTCGAATGCAGTCATGTATGTTGGCTCTCGTGAGTATATAAGATCAACAACTGGTAGTCGCATTCATCGCATTTACATGGCAATCGGATTTCAGAAAAGAGTTGATCCTGATGGCGGATTCACGTATTAGATTTCAGGCGTACATACAATTCTAAGTCAACAGATTTATTGAACTTGTGTGGCTCATGTGCCCTATTCTGTTCTAGAATCTCAATATATATCTTACTTATATCTTGGGGTATAATTATCATCAATAGTTTTCTCACTTACACGAAATGGCTGCGGTGTGGCAATCGGGGTAGGCGTAAAAACTGACCTTAACCACCTATGAGAATACATTCACCAATATTCTCACCTCACAAAGTTGTCGGATCGCAAGAAGGGTTCGAATTCATCTCAGACATATTTTAAAGCCTGGACTGAGACCCTTCGTTTACTAATCTCACGAACGCTGCTCAATACAATAGATTAGATGGACGATAACAATTGCACACTGATGTTGATAGACCAACAAGTACATAGACGGAGAAGAGAATTCTTAGTTATTCTACCCTCTATATCCATCAAAAGGTCCAAACCTACTAGCTTTGAACCGAATTCGCTACTCGCATACAATCCGATTGCGTCTTGACATAAGCGGGCCACTTATCTTTTCCCTGGACAGCTGCCCTCGTATACGATAGGCTGCCCAGTGTCTCACCATACAATAAACCACACAATACTAGCCCCTAAGTAGAAAATGATTCCAACCTGCTCAATTGCATCGCATCAAACCTATTCATGGTGCGTTATACCGGGCCATCCTTACATCTCCCATCCAGAATCGGAACGAAATAAGTTGAACACTCGCATCATTTTCAGACCGACTTCGTAACGGTAATATATACAGTGGTCGTCGGTCCACAACCTACGCCGCAGGATATAGATGAAGATGAAAAACGAGAGGAAGAAAGCGAAGAAGATCTGGTGGATGATGTGGACGTAGTCGTAGAGCTAATCAGAGTAGGCACCAACGACGAGGATGAAGATTTAGTAGTTGACGTAGAAGATGAGGGGGTAGAAGACTTCGTTATTACTAATGCGGGGGTAGAGCTCGTTGAAGTGGTTATCAATAAGAGAGCCGTGGAAGTCCTAGTTGTTGATGTAGAGGATGAAGAAGAGGATAAAAGGGTAGAGGATCTCGTTGTCACTATTGTGGGGGAAGAGCTAACCGAAGTGGTTCTCGATGGAGAGGAAGTTGGAAGGGTAGCAATTCTAGATGTTGACGTAGAGGATGAAGTGGTAGAAGGTCTAGTTGTTGAAGTGACAAGAGGGGATGTTGCTGGAGTAATTATCAATGCAGGAAGAGAGGCAGACGAAGTTGTGGAGCCTAAATAAATCGAGTTAGTGTTGGCTCTAAATTAAGGATGGAAGGGGAAAATTTGTATTGTAAACTATCTGCCATTCTGATCGAGAGCGTAAAATTAAATTGATTACTTACTTCTTGAAGAAGATGTAGACGAAGAAGATCTGAATGAAGAACTGGACGAGGAAGACGAAATTCTCACCGAAGGAGTTGGATAGACCTTTTTTCATATCAGCATTTTGATTCAAGGCATTGATATCAATATGTTATTGTGGAAGATTTAGACAGCCACTGACCGTATAAGATGATGTTCCATAAGAAAATGCTGGACTCGGGCAAGCTCCTGTAATTGAAGGAACTCCATCGGTACCCGAAGTAATGGGTACAATATTTGATCCGCAACTTGCAGCTTGCGCAATGTGAACATTTGCGTTGTCCTGATCGAACACCACATAAGCACCTCTCATGAAGGTATCTCCTAAAATCACATCCGTCTTTTCGGCAGCATTGGCAATGGGTCCATAGCATGTAGCACCATTGAACCATATGAATTGAGCTAACTGGATCCGGATTATCTTCCCTGCGAATCCGAAATCTACCGTCCCAGCAATATTTTTGAAGCTACAAGGAATAGTATAGAGGCCACCTCCTTTACTGACCCATCCTGGAAAATAAGGGAGCATGGCGTTGACAAGTGAAGGTGGCAAATAACTCAATGTACTTCCGGAGTCAACAATGACAGGTTTCGCATAACCGGTAGATGTCAAATTCGTCGGTAGTTGACCTGGAAATGTAATACCAAAGTACGTCATATTGATCCAATATCTAATTTGAATACTGTTCAATAAGACCGTCCAATACGCAGGACAAAGGTCAAAAAAGCGATTACCTTGGATACCCATCAGGACTTTGATAAAATGGTATAATGGGATTTTTAATCAGTGAGCCGTAGTACTTCTTTGTATCGAGACCGCCAAAGATAATGGAGCCTGTTTATTTGAGTCAACCAGTGCAGTCATGGATACATGAAAGTCATACCTGAAGCTGTATCGACATTGCCCAAGTCAATAGCAAATGCACGAGTTTTTGTCAGACCTTGCAAGGCGAGTTGATCAATGATATTGTAATAACCAGTTCCAAGGCCAAGCCCCCAGGATACACCCATTATACCGGCAAACATTCGATTACTGCCTGATGCAACACCGAACTGAAGTTTTTTAAGGGTCGGACCTGACCCTATCCTAAACTTTGTCAATAAGCACATGCGAAACTGGAATATTCACCAACATAAAATTGTCCGTTGCATAAGCTCCAGTGACTGCACCGATACCATATGCTATATTCAAGGCTTGACTCAACGGTACGAAAGACGTAGATTTCGTAGGATCGTACTGAGGATAACTGGAGCAAAATGATGCCCACCCCGAGGTAGCGCACTGTGGATTCACCCAAACATCACTGCTCCCTGTATCGATACTCAGGGTTATAGACTGCGGAGGATACCCAATCTGTACTACTTTTGATTAGACAACAAATTCGAGGCTACGCTTGAAATGACATACCGGTGATCATGTAAATATCTCCAATGTAAGGGTTGGCCAAGTTTGACATGGATTGTCTTTTTCGAACATTTGGAACTCCCGCAACTTTCGTCACTCCTAGCTGAAGAACTCCATCATCAACCATCCGGTTTGGTAAGACTTTGGCAGTTGCATTGATTTCGAAATCATCATCAACATCAAGGAAGGCCGTTACCGCCACTGCCAAAAGAATCAGCCCTGTAACCATAGAGAACATTGTTAAGTCTACGACTCGAAGAGAGTTGTACCACCAAAAGTAGCAACGCCCTCAGCTACATGTATGCTCTTCTAAAGCGTTCCACGATCTTGAAATTCCCCGCATTGAAAAGCCCCATACCTGAGTTCAACACTGGGAGCCGAAAGCCAACTCAAGACATTGATCTTCGGAATTAAGATCTTGCAGTAATGAAAAGCCCTTCGCACCACGTGTGGAGTAATATTACATACGAAATCGAGGCGGAAGAATGCATAAAACTAAACTTCCCTTTTCCAGTAGTGAGGAATGATAACTTTCAAATGTGGCGTAGAAGCAGGAAGGATTTAAGAAGCATCTGAACGCCCAGAAGCATCTTCGACCACTGGGTGGCTCACTCCAAGTCAGAACTTTATATGTACTTCCCGTCAGCAACTCTTCAAATTAAGAGCCGGAACTATTTGAACATAGAAGATGGAACAAGTACTCCACTCATAATTCACGCATAATTTCATATGATTTGATTGACGAGGTGGAATGATGATCACCCACTCATGCTCAAAGCAACCATCTCATAAAAAAAGTATCACCCCCAACGCTTAGCATGACAATCATAATTACAGATGTTAAGACCGAAGAATTCTTTCAAGGGATAACCAATTTGCTGGGTCGTATGAGGGCTCAACACTGGTTGAGATCAGATCTGAGCAAGTAAGGTGTGAAATGGAAAGTGTACTTCCTCCACTCACAAAGGACTACACTGAGGAGATTCCTGCCCATGGCACACTGATATCAAGATCGGAATGCAAAGAGAAAGTCTTGACATGTTATGTAGCCGCCCATCCGTGGAATGAAATCTGGATCAATCTGTTGGAATCATCGCTATATCACGTGCCTAATCTTTTCACCTTCCTAAAATAGGCTTAGATCGAAAAGCAAGCTCTGCTTTTCGCTTAGTAATTAGCGCAGATCACCGTTGCGGCTACAAATATTCAAATTCTGCGCAACAATTTTCTTTTCTTCTTCATCAAAAAGTATCAGAGCTAGCCACGACCTCCACCTTGACTTCAAAACAGTGGTGTGTTGCCAGCATTCTTAACTGAGTGTGAGGCTCTGTAGAGGAAGCAAATCCTTAATAGGAAGTTCGTTTTCCGTGTGTCTTCTTAATTGAGGGCGAGGGGATCCGAATGTCGAAAGAGAGGAAACAAACCAATGTGACATTTACCCTTCTTGTTCAACAGAATGCAATTTGACGTATGTCGAAAGGTCCGAATTCGATCCCTTATTAGACCGCCACTCAACTGTCAACATATTTCGGAGGAGATAATTACGTGCATTGGTGCATTCCACAATGTAGATACATTCCATGATTCGCGATCCAGCCGTTGCCATTCAGTAGTACATAATTTACTTTTCATTCTTGATGATTTTGACTTCTAGGTATGTTTGTGCATGCATACAAATACTTTGGGGTACTCGTGGTAAAAAATTCATTCTTATACTTGAATGTACCTGCCCTGGCTTTTTGGTTCCCATACCATAGACTATTTGTTGCCCAAAAGATTGAGCTCCAGGCGAAATGCTCAAGAATTAGTCCAATGAATCAGATCGGATGGACCATTGTCCGCTGGTGTCTGCGAGTGTACTTTATGAATAGAGTAGTGCTGGCCTTCAATCTTTGACTCGGATTCATGAAGAACAGGTAAGGACTACACAGAAAAGATAGACCTTTGTGGTTAGACTTATCAGTCATGACCAGCAGTAAATGCATTGGAAAGCCGCACATATATGCACATATATGTGTGCCTGCAGAGCCACAAATCCAACACCTCTCTTTTCCCCGTTTCAACTTGATATGGTTATGTTTAAAGACGCCGCGCCGGCTCCTCTTCAAGCACGAAGCGCGCACTTATTTCACCTCATAGACAACTAACTCATAAAAACGATCCAGTGTAGGAAAACATATCTTTTGCGATTGCTCAAATACTTGAAGTTCAATGCAAATTGGCGGGCATTCCTCCCTGAGGAATTAGTGTAGCTCCATGTAACCAACCCAGATCATGATGGAACCTCAAGACCCCATACCATTTTGCGCCGTGTTACCCCCCTCCCTCTGCCGAAAACGCCCCAATCCCTAGATAACTGCAAATACTTATCCTTTTATATAATGAATTATTTGTCGGCAGCCGCGACGTCACCGCTGACCATCTTTCGTAACTCAAACTCCTTTGTGAATTCGCGGCTGAAAACCTCGAGTTCGGATACCAAGTTACGGCAACAAGCGACAAGAGCCTCCTTGGGAGTTATCTCACCATCAGTTTGGATTCGGAGTTCGAATTTGGAAAAGAGAGGATGAGGAACTATGCGCCTCCAATTAGTACAGAATCTCCCAAAAGCCTGGCTGCCCATTGGTATAATGGAACTGTGCTAGTAGTGTGGTAGGCGTACTCTTATAACCAGAAAATATAACATGCGGATCTTTCAACAAATGAGCACGCAACATGTTGGCGAGAGTGTGGTCTTCTTTGTTGAAGGTAAAAATCGAAGAGTTGGGGGTGCCTGGATAACAGTTTATTAGCATAATCCGCTGTAGAAGAGCCCATTTGCGCAATCAATCTACAACTTACGCGTATCGGCTTCCTCAGTACACTTCTTCTCGCCATCTCCGAGAATGAATAACTCGAATCTATTGTGTATGATTAGCTTCTATCCTTCATCGTCTCGCGGGGCACAGATAGCTGTAGAAGCTATGGAGATAAGATGTACCTCTCAGGCGCGTTAGACATGTTTCCTAAGGCGGCCATAATTGCTTTAGTAATTGTTCTTTTTGATCATTTCCTCTTTGTGCCTATTTTGACATTTTGGATTTTGCTACAAGCTGGAAAGAACTTACAATGTATTCCAAGGTATAATGTGCTCGTCTGAAGATTAAAGCTGATATTTCAATTGGAGTAGGGTATGATACGTTATCCAAGAAAGAATGGAAGGAGCTATGGCAGGACCAGTAAGAAGCAGCGTGGTTGTAAGTTTGCCAGTGACGGTGAAGATATAAACTTGTGAAGCTGGTGACAAAGATAATGCCAAGACTGATGAGAAGCTAATGCGAATTGGGTATAGTGAGATATTGTGGATGCGGCCGAGGCTCACACCAGCCTCTTTCAGCCTCCTCTTCATTTGTGAAGTCATACATCTAGCCCATCGACCGACCGCATCATTTTTCTTTTCTTTTGCAAAATAAAGTACTTATGAGTGTTTTTTTTATCACTTCATATTTGTTTCAAAATTACACAAACACGTCTCAAAAGATACCTTCAGCATAGTCCTTATGTTGTTATCGCGCTGTACATGAAATTCAATTAGATATCCCCTGTTCTCTATCTTCAAGTCGCTCCAGCTTCTTCGTGTCATCCTCAAACATCGAAATTGCATTGATTCCAATCACTTCGCATCTACCAGCTACGGGAAATCTGGATCATATCGAATAATGTCTCATTCTAACCACAAACAAACGCTCCGTAAGGACTATCCATGGACAACTTATCCGCTTATATCATCTGCTCCTATGCGCTTAATATCAAAGCCTGCTTTGGCTTTAGCTGTTTCTAGAGCTGGTGGTCTAGGTTTCCTTGCTGCTGGTCACGAGTGAGCTGATCCCTTTTTCTTTATATCGCTTCTCAACGCAAATCACTGCTTTTTCCAGAGGATATCTCATAAGAAGTATAAACGAGATGGGCTCACTAGGAGGAGAGCTATCTGAATCATGTACCAGGTCTATCATACTCCACTTTCATGCCACTCATAAACATTTGATACTTTTGACTACCGAGCGTTGGGACAGTATACTATCCAGCGATTGTTCATTGCAAATATGTTCTTGCTCATTACAAGTCGGACTCTTCTCTATCCCAGTCTAAGTTATGCTATGCACAATTTCATGTATACCCAAACTAATACCAGAAACTATCCAGTCTCACTACCCTTTCGGACGAGATCAGAGAGATCCAAGATTGTCTCTCAGATGACCCTATTCCCGGAAGCTATCGAGATACTCTTCCTATAGGGATAGGGTTTATAGTCTGGGGTTGCGATCTCGAGCATGTCCTGTCAATCCTCGCTCCCCTTCCATTTCCTCCTGCAGCGGTGTGGTTGTTCGCGCCGCATACTAGCTCGGATTTACAAGAGTGGACAGACTCAATCCGGAAGCTCACAGGCAATCTTACTAAGATTTGGATTCAAGTCGGCACAGTCTCTTCTGCCCTCTCAGCCGCTCACTCTTGTGACCCTGATGTTCTCGTTATCCAAGGTTCTGACGCTGGTGGCCATGGTCTCGCTCAATCTTCCTCGATCGTTTCCCTACTTCCTGAATGCGCATCTGCATTACGTTCAAACGCATATTCACACATACCTCTCATTGCAGCAGGTGGAATAGTCGAATCACGTGGAGCAGCAGCTTCATTTATGTTGGGCGCTAGTGGGATATGCATGGGTACACGATTTTTGGCTTCTTCTGAGGCAGTGATACCAACGGGCTACCGAAATGCAGTATTGGCTGCAGAAGATGGTGGTATATCAACCACGAGAACAACCCTTTATGATAGATTAAGAGGAACAGCAGGCTGGCCCGAAGAATATAATGGAAGAGGAGTAGTTAACAAGAGTTACTGGGATGAAGCGAACGGTATGAGTATGGAGCAGAATAAAGAGCTTTATGAAGACGAGGCTAGAAGAGGAGATGAGGGCTATGGAAACAAGGGACGATTGTGTACATACGCTGGCAGTGGCGTTGGCTTGGTTCGAGAGACCATGGATGCTCGTGATATTGTAGTCGAAGTGAGGGAGGGGATGAGGAAATTGATTAGAGAGGGATCAAGTCGTTTGTGAAGCACGACGGATATCATGAGTTTGAAAGTTCTATGATTTTAAATCAAGGCTTCAGATGGGAATCGGAGAGTGAGCAGCATGTGGTCTCAACTCATGCAATTTTATGGATTTCTTTTCGGTGTATAGCTTCGTGATGGGTGGCTGCTTTGTATTTATCAGTTCTCATGATGCAAGCATTTGATACCTTTTCAGGACACACTAATACTGTTTTTATAACAAAAACTCTCTACCAGCAATGAGAGGATTCTTACTTTCTAATTCTATGAATTGAGAGAACGTTGCGATTACAGATTTTGGAGGGAGTAGCACAAAAGAGATGTGAAGAGAAAGATGAAGGAATGTAGAAGTGTGAGAGAAAAACAGAATGAGACGGTAGCAAAATGAAACTTGATATCGTCATTCTTAACGGTTCGTACTCCAAGTTAACAACCCCAAATCCTCTCTTGCCCGACTCTCTAGTCGTCGAACTCTTATATATGTATATTTTTGTTTCTTTATTTTCTTTCCATGCTTCGGCTTTTTGGCTGGCAGCGCAGCAACTTCTTCTTCTTCTTCATCATCATCTTCTTCCCCCTCCTCTTCTTCTTTTTCATCGTCCTCTTCTTCCTCTTCTTCTTTTTCATCGTCCTCTTCTTCCTCTTCTTCTTTTTCATCGTCCTCTTCTTCCTCTTCTACCTCTTCCCCATGTTGATCTCTCAAAGCCTCCCTATCCATCTGCTCTCCCCTAACAGCATCCAACTCAGCCGAAGCTCTCGCCAACTCAGCAGTCAACCTAATCCTATGCGCCTCCAAATCCGCATCACTCAAACCTCTAGCAGCACGCGCTCTGGACGCATTAGTTCTTCCAAACACACCAGGGCCTTGCAAAGCCACCAAAATCGCCGCAGCCGCAGCTGCACTAGCCAATCCAATACCCACCGGTCCCACCAATAACGGCGCAATACGTTTCGCGCCACCGGTGCCTCCCCCACGAGGAACATTCGCTGCAGGAGGCACTCCCTGCGCAGGGATAACAATAGCACCAATGCCCTGTTGCGCAATACCGACAGCCAATCCAGCCAAATCCCCGATCTGGCCACCGAAATTATTCGCAGGCGCCATGCCCGGAATGTCAGGAGCATCTTCAGCTTCTGCTTGAAGATGAGCTACTGCGTTTTGATGTTCTATTTATTTCCCAAATTAGCCCGACTTCAATTTTCCCTCCCCATTTTCGAAGGAGAGGAAAGAAGACGATAAACATACCATGTCTCAACGAGCATCTGCTGCCCTGTCTCCCATAATAACAACTCGTACACGCCTCTTTAAAATGGCCATCCGCCAACACACAATCGGTAAACGGACCATTTCCCTTTCTGCAATTGGTGCAGGGATGCGCTTGGAGAGTACCGACTTGGGTGGCGAGCCATGCTTCTTCGTTTAGGATGCGTCGGGGTCCGACGAGTAGGTTGCGATTGGGTCGCATGGTTGTGTTGCGGAGGATGGGGAGCAGGGAAAGGGTGTTCATCGAAGCGGTGATTCTACTTGCTGGCGCGCCGTTGATTACTGTTTTGGGAGGTAAGTTTTAGCGCTTAAGGGAGGAATTGGGAGGGGTGGAATCAAGAATGTAGTCAGAGTGAAAATGATGTGGAAGATGAAACATAGGGTTATATCTTGACAATAGAGGCGAGCGATATGCAATTAAAGGAACGATTATACTTACGGGTTCCAGCCGGGGGGCCGGGGGGTGGTACACCAGCCATGATTATTTAAGTATATTCAAGATAAAAACTTAAGCTAGTTTGAAAATACGTATGAGTTCGACAGCAATGGATAAGTATAGAAAGACATAGACACCTCTTGAATGCACGAGAGACATAAAAGCTGAACATAGCACAATCGTCCCTTTGTTTGGCGCTTACGAACCTAGGGGTTCGAGAATTAGAGCATTGTCTGATCATTTCTTTGTGTTAAGGCCGTGAATGGATGATGCGCCATAAGGACAGTCTAAGATATGAAATCTGGCCTAGAAGAAAGACGCAAGCCAAAAGGCTACAGTGATGCTAAATAGGCTCGGAAGAAAGAGAAGCAGCAGGCAAGGTTGAAAGACCCCTGAGAATTAGTGAAGCCCTCCTTCACGTGAACTGGATCTAAAAGTTTGCTCTCGCAACCACATTCAAAAATCAAAGTCTAAGATTTCTACGGGTAATGGTAACTTCTTACGCGAACCAAACGAGCCCACTGGGTTTCATGGCGAATAGCACATCCACACTCTAGGGGCACAATCCATTATCAAATGTACGAAAGCCTCGAGGCCAATTTGAATATTATAACAATCTGATCCTGACATTTATGACTGTAAACAAAGACGAAAAAGAACGAAAAGAAAAACTAGTAGATATCAATTTCCAGTGCAATGCTACGCTATGCACCCAATCCAGCCATACCATCCGAAAAAACTCAAGAGATCTAGTATCATAAAAAAGCGACAAAAGAAACAACCATCCATATGTATGTATGTATTCAGTTTATACATGCGTACAAGCACAGCCCTCTGTCTTCCCACCACTTGTGAGATCAAGCCGTGTATGCGATTTAGAACAATGGCAATTCTCCTCCTGCCCTGTCTTTTCTATCGCAATATCCAACGTTTGGAACTTTATCGCCACCGCTCGTCCAGCTGATAATGGTCAAGCCCGTAGTATATACCATGACCACCAAGCCGAAGATACAAAGCATGATATCTGCCCCTTTGCGGAAACGTGTTTTGGCTACACCTCGATAATGCAGCATTGGCTAAATAAAGGGTTAGTCTCTTAGTTCTTGGGGATTAAAGTATGTGACGAAGTGGGTTTTGTCAATGAAATAAGAGGACATACCGGATATATGAATACTAGTGGAATACAAGCAAAGCTTCCCACAATCGAAACAAATTTATCTAAATCGTTAGAGCCAACGTATGCAATGGATGCGCACAGGGCAACGACGAAGAAGCGGAAAACGTTCTTTTGCCATTTGATATAAGGATTGTATTTTCCACTTTTGGTAAAGAGCTCATTCTCCGTGATTCTGATGGCTGGGAAGATCTGTAGAGGGGTTGACAAAAGAATGGCGCACGAATAGAGAAACTGAACACCGTTGACCATCTTGTCGTTTTGTGGAAGATTGAGAAGAACAACTGTCTCTACATGGGAACCAAATGCAGCGTAAGAAAGAGCACCCATAGAGATGAATACTACGCTGATGATGATCATGACCATACCAAGAACAGGAGGAAACTTCTTAGGATTCTTCATGGATTCTTGAATAGGAATGATCAAGCCAATTCCTTCGAATGTAAAAATGGCGGTGCCAATGAACAACGTCCAGTCTTGCTGGTTGAAATTGACGATGTCAGAAATACCACCTTGTTTCACGATTGTGAAAATGTCATAGTAGTAAAGATATACCAAGCCAACAAGAATAAAGGCATCTGCTATGAGCGCGGTAAATCCGAGCTTACTGATGTCGCGCAAAAGCGAGAATGGCAAGAAAATAGCCATTTGTAGCAAGATCAACCATGAAACCTCCCAGTGAACTCTACAATTAGTCACAGCTGCTATGAAAGCTTGCAAGTTCTCTGACGTGAATACGATATATGCAGCCACAAATCCCATCTGACTAATGACAATCGATGCAAGAATGACTGTTCGCATCCATCTCCCGTAGAGAACCCCCCCCATATCTCCGAAAGACGCCTCAACCTTTAGTCGCGTGTTGACGAGTAACACGAAGCAGTAATAACTCAGAGCTGCGACGAGAAGAAGGATGATGTTACTGAAAAGCATTCCGCCGTTGAGATATGCCTTAGGTAGGAACAACACGCCGGTACCCACGAAAGATTTAAGCAACAGCAACGAAGCTTGAAAAGGTGTGGTTGTTCCTTGTGGTGCGCGCTCCTTGCGCTTTCTCTTTCGTCGACCAGGCGTAAGCAGGGCACTATTCTCCATTGGCTCTCTATCCTCATCACTACCTTCACCATATTCATCAGAAATAGCATCGGATCCAAAGTATTCGTCAGGTCCGAGTACCTCATCGTCTTCTTCCAATTCTTCACCAGCAAAATGGCCGTAGATGGTTAGAAACTCGAGGAAGTTGTTGGTAAATATCTTTGGCTGTCGTTGCGCGAGTCCCCCGCCTTCTTCCACATCTACGCCGTCAGGAGTCGGGCTGCCTGCTGCTCGACGTAGATAATTTCGTCTGAATCCACCTGGTAATTTAATTGTGCCTATGTCAAGAACTTCGTTCTCTGCTTCTGGTCGCGAGATATGAAAGCTCTTACTTCTCTGAGATCGGCTCGCTCTGTGAGCATCCTCGGTCCATCTGTATATGGGTCTGGTAACATCACCACCTTGTAATCGCAGACTCGAAAACTCATCATCATCTAGCCCAGGTGCTATAGTTTCGATTGCCTGTTTTGATGTACTAGCTGGAGAGCCCACACGGAATGATGGTGACTGCCCGCTTGGCCCAAAGATCCCATCAGCGGCACCGTCACCTCCTAGCTGCGAGGGCCCTTGTTGTACCAAATGTCTTTTTATAATTTCTGGATCCTCGTAGGCTGTCGGACCAGCCCATCCTTGTCCTCCTTGGACCGATCGCGGAACAGAGCCATAATTACTATGCGGTCCTGCACCTTGTATTTGTTTACCGGCAGCGGCTGGTGATAATGAACGGATGGGGGGTGTTCCAAAGGTAGGAGGAGTCTGCCCGATAGAATTCGACAGCGCAGCGGCCAACGCGCTTATACCTGGACCAGGCGCATAAGATGCTGGACCACCTGCGCCAGCCAGTGGGAGAGGCGTAGTACTCTCAGATGAATCGGCGGCGGCGGCCTGATTTGGAGTAGGTATCTGACGAACTTGTGGAGTGCCGTGATGGGAAGGTACTGGTGAAGCTAATCGGGCTGTTGACTTATCTCTTGAAGACGGACTTCCCGACCGCCCTCTAAATGAGCCTGGTGATGGTGATGGTGAAGAACTCATCGGAACTGGCAGAGGTCGTGAAGAGGAAGGAGTCGACATGATGATACGAGATGAGGTCGGTGAAGAAGGCAGTAGATATATTTTGATAGAAGAGCAGCAATTCGCCGGGTCTTATCTCATGATAATGGCCGTATTGTAATAATCCTGGTAAGACAAGCAACCTATGAAGGATGGGGAAGATGGAAATCTTCTTCGGCGAATTTCGTTAGCCTTGATGTACGGTGGATGACAACAGAGCCGGTGAATATTTCATATGCTGTCGTAGGATTACTTACCAAGAATGAAGATCCAAATAAATTTCTGATAGAATGCGATGTTAATATGTTGTCACCTGTCTATCTCATGCTCATCCTCAGCTCACACCAAGCTTTCCGGCTATCTTGCAAGATACATAAAGTGGCCCTTGTGCTGTCTGAGAATCTCAAACATCCAACATCAACATCCAACGAATCGGGGGAGGTGCAGCGAGTAAGAAGACGCCGAAAATATCCAGCCAATTGAATTTCAAGAGAGAAATGCTTTTTGCACGATATTTCGATTGATCTATCGAATAATATAAAACAATACGAGTCACGGAATAGTATTCTATCCCAAGATATCTATCTGGGTAATGATCTCTCATTCCTGTGGGCTGAGGAAAAGTAAATACCCAATCTCATGATGAAGTATGGACGGATCAATTTCATATGAGCCATTTTATATTATAATCTTACACAAAAAGTACAAATAATAACAATAAGTATTCAACTCTTTCCTTTCCTTCTGCTCCTCTTCTTCCTTCCTTCCTTCCTCCCTTCCTACCTTCCTCCCCCCTCTATCGATTCTCCTTTGTTCGAAACTCATTCTGAACAATCATCTCGCTGTGGTATTGACCCGTGTCTCGAACCTGCCACATGACGTCGAACGGCAATATCCTTGTTCTTGGCTTCACCAACTCTTAGATCTCGTATCTGTTAATGAGTATTTGAAAATACATACCTATGTACATGGCATTGATTCTTTACTTAATTTGACACATTGATTGGGAGGCGGGTATTGATATTGCCATTGGTCTTACTGTCCATACTTGAGAATGCCCAATGAGGGCCAGGAAATTGATAGCATCGGCGACTCGAGCACCAGCAAGCATGGAACCCAGTGTGAGGGTGAAGCTCCTGCTAGTGAATCTAACATTGGCAATGGAAATTCCTTGACGCATCGAGTGTTACACACATTTTCTAGCGATGTAACTGATAACGACCAAACGCCGGGCCCTCATGAGGAACAGCAACAAGATCCATACTCTGCTAGCACTATGGGAGAAAATTCATTGACGGTCCAAATGCATAATGAGGTAGAGCGGAAGAAGAATGGTACAGCGATTCCTAGATCAGGGCTAGGACCTCGACCAATTGGTGGCCAAGAGAAGTTGGGGATGTTTTCTGGTGTATATGTGCCAACATGTCTCAATGTTTTGAGCATTTTGATGTTCCTGCGATTTGGATTTATTCTAGGACAAAGTGGGCTCGTGGGCATGATAGGTAAGTAAGTCTCTGAAGCACAAGACCACAACAAACATTGACAGTACCCCCAGGTATGCTTGTTGCATCGTACGTGATCAATTTTATTACTACCTTCTCTCTTTCTGCGATTGCCTCGAATGGGACAGTCCGCGGAGGTGGTGCATATTACTTGATATCTCGTTCTTTGGGTCCAGAATTTGGAGGTTCAATTGGACTCGTCTTTTATCTGGGCTTCGT